TTCCTGCTGCATTCGGTTTCCCTAGTCACTTGCTGCCAGTAGTTAAGGGATATGATTTTAGAATTCTAGTGGCATCTAGTGAAATGTACCTTAAAATTAGAGGGGCCGTGCTTAGCTTATATTGGTACCAAACCATGAAATTATGTAAGTGATGTTTATTTCTTCTTAATTTCACTTTCCTTCCTTCCATCTTAGTTTTAGTTATTTATATCTACTTATAATACAGCATTTTCAATCTGATTCCACGGTTCGGTTTGGTCTGCCCCAAGGAAATCAAATGCCAGTCGCCTAGCTTGAGCACGGCCGAAGTGCAGACAGTGGGTTGAGTCAGGTTTCGTCCCAGTTCTTCCTCACCCAGCAGCAAAACCTCTGGAGGTGGCACTTCTGGACACCCAGCTTTAAGATAACCCGACTGCTGGGTGGGTCCTCTAGTTCATACGGTGATAATTGGAAAGGACCGAGACTGGGGAAGCGGGGTGCGGTCTGGGGCCGTGGCACGATCACGTGTGCTTCCCAAACAGTCCTCATCCTGAATAAACAGTCCAAGAAGAGGAGCACCTGGTGTGTTCCTTCAGTTTCCTGGAACATTCTGGTTTAGCATCCTCACCTGGATGCTATGGGTCACACCTGAGCCTACCCGGCCAGGCTGAGGTGCGCAGCCGCAGGGAGCATGTTTTCTCTCCCTCCAGCACCACTGCCGGAAGTGCGGGAAGGCCGTCTGCGGCAAGTGCAGCTCCAAGCGCTCCTCCATCCCTCTGATGGGCTTCGAGTTTGAAGTGAGGGTGTGTGACAGCTGCCACGAGGCCATCACAGACGAGGAGTAAGTCCCAGCAATCCGCAGAATTGTCGAGGTTAAGGAGGGAGCCAGGTCTAAGAGCTTCACCCAGCGCCGCAGCCATGGCTAATAGGGCCCTAATCCTGCTGGTTTCTAATACGGACCGTGGCTGGTGGGCAGAGCCCTCCTTTCCACCAAGAGATCCTGTTGTCTTGTGGGCAGGAGGAGAGAGTGCACGCTGAGAAATCATCTCTGTGCTCTCGTCAGTCCCAGGGGTGTGTGCCCTGAAATGTTCTTGTAGCAAACTCTCTGTCTGCTCATTTTCTTGAGAATTGCCCAGCCGTGCAGGAGCCCTGGGTTTACTTTCTAGCCCAGGCCGGTATCATTATAGGACCACATCAGCTCACAGGCTCCAGAGCTTTTGTGTTCCAGGGAGAGTTAAGCCACTTCTCCTAAGAGGCCAGTACCGCCAGTTGCTGAGTCTTCCTGGTCGGTCTCGCCCAATACCCCAGGACCTGAGGTTACTGTGCCGCTGTGCTTTGTTGGGGGGTGGCAGGGAGGGTGGGACGGATCCATGTTGTCTTTTCATGTTTTTAATCTATGTTCCTGTTTTTTGTTTGGTTGGTTTTTTTGGCCACACCACACGACATGCGGGATCTTAGTTCCTCCACCAGGGATTGAACCCGTGCTCCCTGTCGTGGAAGCTCGGAGTCCTAACCACTAGACTGCCAGGGAATTCCTCCCATGTCATCTTTTTCATGTCAGCTGTTGTAAAACAGATGTAAACAGGATGCTCTTCACCAAGTTTCCCTCTTAGTGAATTACAACAGGATCTCATAGGGAACTTATTGCCCAATTCTCCCACCTCCACCCACCCCCACACCTGTTTAGAGTAAAATCATTTTACGTACTAGATGGGTGTCTTAAAAGCTGCATGTAGGGTTCCCTGGTGGCACAGTGGTTGAGAGTCCGCCTGCCGATGCAGGGGACACGGGTCTGTGACCCGCCCGGGAAGATCCCACGTACCGCGGAGCAGCTGGGCCCGTGAGCCATGGCCGCTGGGCCTGCGCGTCCGGAGCCTGTGCTCCGCAACGGGAGAGGCCACAACGGTGAGAGGCCCGCGTACCGCAAAAA